TCACCGGTTGCTCTACCCGTCAACCGGTGAACGAGCCAGGGTGTGCATGTTTATCAACCGGCGAGTCAGCCAAACCAGTTGGCAGCATATTGAGCACACACGCGATATCCAAGAACTCCGCCTCCGCACCGCGTGCGGGAAAGCTATTCATGTTCTGAATATATATAACTGGGAGGGCCGAAGCGCCATGGATGAACTTGACCGGCTGGTGCCTGCCTCTGCAGACCAACCGGCTAATGAAGAGTGGCTGTTGCTCGGAGATTTCAACCTCCACCACCCGTGGTGGGGAGGAGAAGAGATCCAGGCAGATCCACAGGCAGAAGACCCAATTACACTCATCGACACCGCGGACCTGGATATCCTTGGCAACGACGGGGAGGTGACGTGGGAGAAAGAAGGCAGGGGATCAACCATTGACCTAGTTCTGGGCACACAAGGCATCTCTCACCGGCTGGTCAGCTGCCTCGTCGACGAGAGGCGCCATGCTGACTCCGACCACCTCCCGATTGAAACCACCCTCGATTTCAACACCCCGGAGGCCCCCGCGACGCCTCGAAGAGCCTGGGCAAGCACTGATACCGCTAAGCTTCGAAAATTCGTGGCCGAAAACCTCTACCAAGCTCCGTGGACGCGCCTCTCCGGGGCGTCCTCAAGCAAGCAGCAGATCGAACACGCCACCGACCACCTGATCGAAACAGTTCAACAGGGAATCCAACTGTCGACACCGTGGGCTAAGCCGAGTGCGTGGGCCAAGCCAAGCTTCACCCCAGCCTGCCGGGAGGCGGTTAAGGAAACCCGCCGGGCCTACCGCGCGTACCGGAGGAACACCTCTCTTGAGAACTGGCAGCGCTACACCACCTTACGCAACCGAAAGGGGAAGACCTTCAAGAAGGCCCTCAGACAGCACCACCGCGATACGGTCAAGCGAGTGACCGAAGCGGGCCCGCGAGGGCTCTGGCGCTTGGCCAAGTGGGCGAGGAACCGCGAGAGAGACGAGGGTATCATCCCGATCCTTAAGGGACCGGACGGCCCGGCCGAGACCATGGAACAGAAAGCCGAAGCCTTTCGGCAAGCCTTCTTCCCGCAGCCCCCCGAGGCCGACCTTACCGATATCACTGCCGCAAGGCTCCCGAAGCCGATTGAATTCCCCCCGATCTCGACCACCGAAGTAGCCGCCGCGATCCGGAGGGCACCCCCCGACAAAGCCCCCGGCTTCGATGCGATTCCGAACCGCATCTGGCACTGCCTTGCCGCCGAACATGTATTCATCGACTGCCTGACCACGATCTTTGACGCCTGCGTGCAAGCTGGGCACAACCCGGCCCACTTCCAGAGGTCGATCACCGTGGTGCTCAGGAAGGGTGGAGGCCGCGATTACACTCTCCCCAAATCGTACCGACCGATCGCGTTGCTGAACACCCTCGGTAAGTTATTGGAATCAGTGGTTGCTAACCGAATTGCCTACGCCTGCGAGGAGCACGGGCTGCTTCCGAGGACCCACCTGGGGGGCCGCAAGAGCATCTCAGTCGACCACATTATACAACGAATTCTAGATCGGATCCGCCGCGCGTGGGGGGACGACCGAGTGGTAAGCATGATCCTCCTTGATGTGGCCGGGGCGTACGACAACGTCAGCCACACTCGCTTGATACACAACATCCACATGGCCCGGCTGGGCCAGTTAGCCCCATGGATCAAGGCCTTCCTCAAGAACCGCACGACACAGCTCCGCATGCAGGACTTCATCTCTGGGGTGCTTTCTACCCCAAACGGCATCCCCCAGGGCTCACCGATCTCGCCGATCCTCTTTCTTCTCTTCAATACGCCGTTAATTAAGGGGGTAAGTGACTGGCGGGCCCTGCCCGACCAACTGGAGGCCTTCGGATGGGTGGACGACGCCATGATTCTTGCGGTTTCACGAACATACGCAAGAAATAAGCAACTACTCGAGCAGGCTCTGGCTCGGGCAACGCAGTGGTCTAAACGCCATGCTTCCACCTTTGCCCCTGGTAAGTTTGAACTGATCCATTTCCGCAACCCACGTGCGACGACCGAAATCGACTACCGCGAACTCGACGAACTCCCTGAAACCGATACGTGGGAAGGCACCCGCGAAGAGGTTTGGGAGGGCCACGACCACCTCACCGTCGTGGTACCAAGTGAGCCGCCGGTGACCATTAAACCGAGCAAGTCAGCCCGCTACCTCGGCGTCTGGCTTGACAGGTATCTCACATTTGAGACACACCGCACTAAAGCCATCGCGAAAGCGAGCGGCAGCCTCGAGGCCCTGCGCGGCCTAGCCGGCTCGACCTGGGGGGCCTCGCTGCAGCTTATGCGGCAGGCCTACCGTGCAGTGGTAATTCCCCAGCTCTTCTGGGGCATCTCCGCATGGTACTGCCCGGCAGGCAATATCACGAATGCAAGTGAGCGGACAAGGGTCGAACACGCCTTTGCTCAAATCCAGAGGCGGGCAGCGATCCTGATCAGCGGCGCCTTTAAGGGCACCGCAGCTGCGGCACTCAATGCCGAGCTTCACCTAATACCAATCAAATGGCTCATGCAACGCACAATTGAGGAAACCGCGATAAGGATCCAGACCGGACCCCAGTTCGCTCGCCCCCAAGGCCTGCTCCGAGCTCGGTCGACGAGCCAAAAGCAACTCGGGGCACCACGCCCCTGGAAGCGCTACGGTGGGGGAGACGAGCAGCGCTCAGCCTGCCCCCGGGCCGAGAGTGGGAAGAGAGAGTCGCATTTGCATGCCCCCCGTGGCAGCCGCGTGTCCGGGTGACAATCAGGAGCCGGGAGGAAGCCTTGGCCGAGCATGACAGGGTATGCCAAACTGACTCGGCAGTGGCTTCGAGGGAGGTATTGGGGCTGCCGCGGTCAGCCTACGCAGCGGAGGCTACGAGCGAGGCAGCCACCTCGGCACCGACGAGGACTCCACGGTCTACGCAGGGGAATTACGAGGAATCGAACTGGCGCTGCAGGCTGAGATACCACGGTCCCCCCAGGCGATCCACGTCTTCTCAGATAGCCAAGCCGCACTCCGGGCCGTGGCCAATCCAGGCCGCCCCTCAGGCCAGTTCATTCTTCGAGATATCTACAAGTCAGTTGGCCAACTGGCTACGGCTCATCTACATTGGGTGCCGGCACATATCGGGATACCGGGGAACGAGGCAGCCGACGAGGTTGCTAAGCGAGCCGCTCAGAGAGTTGAATTGGGCCCAGTGGGGAGTGATATTGAATTAAGCTCAGTGGGGCCGGACCCGGTGATCCGACTCGCAGCTGCAGCTAAGCGAGCAACTCGCACCAAGTTCAGAATAAGGTGGGAAAAGCAGTGGGCGAATGAGCGTGTGGCGGCTCCGACACGCAGGCTGATCAAGGCCCTGCATAAGAGGAATCTAGACCTCTACAAAGGGCTTACGAAAGCCCAAGCGGCGGTGGCGATCCAGCTCCGTAGCGAGAGGATCGGTTTGGCCCACTTCCTGTGGAAAGTCAAGGCACACGACACCGGGAAGTGTACGTGTGGGGATTACCAGCAGCGGCAGACACCAAAGCACGTGCTGCTTG